AGGTGTGTGTGTGTGTGTGTGTATACGTCAGCTGGGATTGAAAGTAACAGCGAAGTATGCACTTGATGAGAGTGGATGGATGGACACTCAGGTAATAAGGTTGGATAGTGTATCGACTTATACGTAGGAAAGATGGCAATTGTAGAGAACCATGATCGCTTATGTCCAGAAGGAACACAGCATATACAAGAAGAAGAAGAAGAAGAAGAAGAAGAAGAAGAAGAAGAAGAAGAAGAAGAAGAATTAGTAGTAGTAGTAATAGAAAGAGAAGAAGAAGAAGAAATAGAACAAGAAGAACAAGAGGTAAAAAGAGAAGAACCTAAAAAGTAGTAATTGTAGTGAAAGAAGAATAAAGACGGGCGAAAAGAAGAAAAAAAAGAAAAAGAGGGAGAAGAAGAAAGGCAGAAGAAGGTGAAATAATAATAACAATAATAATGATGAGAAGAAATAGAATAAAAGGAAATAGTAGTAGTAGTAGTAGTAGTAGAAATAAACATAAAAGCGCCAAAAAGTAGGAATCGTAGAAGTAGAATAAGAAGAAAAAGCGGACGAAGAAGAAAAAAAAGAATGGCAGATGTAAAAGTGAAAATAACAACAACAACATCAATAATAATAATAATAATAATAAGAAGAAGAAGAAGAAGAAGAAGGAGAAAGGAAGAAGATGTACAAGGTGAAAACTGCAACAACAAAAACAACAACAACAACAATAATAATAATAATAATAAATAGAAGAAGAAAGGCAGAAGATGTAGAAGGTGAAAATAACAACAGCAAAAACAACAATTTAATACTACTACTACTACTACTACTAATAATAATAATAAAAATAAGAAGAAGAAGAAGGAGAAGAAGAAGAAGAAAGGCAGATTATGTAGGTGAAAGTTATAATAATAATAATAATAATAATAAGAAGAAGAAGAAGAAGAAGAAGAAGAAGAATCGGGATTTATTGCTTCATTGCGTATTAAAACATTTAAATATATAAAACCTCGACTATCTCACAACGCGTGTAGCTTCAGCTTTTATATTTAGACTATTTACATCATTGCAATTATTGTCCTCATCTGTATTGGCATATTCATGACATTTCGGCCGTTGTACGCTCCGACCTTCGTCAGGTGATATACGTTGGCATTTCTAACCGAACTCTTTATGTAAATTGTTCTAATTCCACTTGCCATGACATTTTTTGGGGGTCGGTTCTCTCAGTTTGAATTAACTTTAGTAACTCTATTCTGCAAATATTCGTTCCTTCTGTTGTTCCCAGGTATTGAACTCACAACCCACTGAGTCAAATCAATTTATGGATTGCTTCAGCTAATACTTTATCCACTAGGCCATGTGCTCACTATCAGCCAAAAAAAAAAAAAAAGAATTAAAGGCATGGCACGTGGAATTAGAACAATTTACCCATGTGAACTCACTAAGGGATTTGGTTCGAAATTCCAACGTATATGACCTGAAGAAGGCTGGATGGTACAACGACCGAAACGTCGTGAATATGGCAATAAAGATGGGGGCAACAGTCCGAATAATGTAGACAGTTACAATACCTTATTTCAGAAATATTAACAGATTAGCTTTGTTCTATGGTGGTAATCTTTTGAGGTCGTTTGCGGAAAGTTATTCATGTTTTAGAGTTTAAATTGTTGTATAAAACAATTTTGTCATCACCTATTACCACCTTTGGATAATGAGTAATTACAATAATACATATCTTATAATAATGGCTCTTGTAAAATGGAAATTACTTATGACTGAACAAGTGATATTTCGCTTTTTGGCAACTGCCGTTAACGAAAGCTAGTGCCAACAGTAAAATGCCAGAGGTGTGATGCTGTTAGCAAGTTTCGAACTCCCACTGGGCGATATTATAATTTCTGGGGATCTGTTCCTTCAAATCGAATCGTACATCTTTTATTATTTTGTTTTAGACTTATTTTTATGACAATCACGAGTGTGAATATCTTCCTTATATTAGCATTGCTTCATATTACCGTGTTATTACTTGTCATTGTTAATTTCTTCTGTTTCATGTTTGTTTTCTCATAGAACCCAGGATGTTGTTTCGTTGGTCCGGCATTATTTTTTTAACAGACACTGGACGGCGTCGATCGACCCTGCACCGTCACCAACATGTCATTCCTCCTTACATATCTAGTTCCGTTGTAATTTCGTTTTCATTATGATTTTGTTATTGTTCTTCTTCTTCTTCTTCTTCTTATTATTATTATTATTATTTCTTTATTTTTGTTTGTTTATTAACAAACTTTGCTGCGTTGTTTTTTTACTTATTCTGTTTTTTTTTTGTTTTTTTTTTGTTGTTGTTTTAAATAGAACTATGTAGTCCTGGTATCGGCGCCCCCAAACTAATCAAATGTAAAACGATGTTCTTTTTCGGTTATTTTATTTATTTTCCCTATTTTTATTGTTTACAGTGTTCCTTTCATTTCAAGGAGCCTAATTGAATACAGTTACGTTTTTAATCTGTCCAAATGGCCAATAACCACGGGAATCGAGAGAGGAGACATACTGACAAGGAGAGTCTCACACGTAATTAAAGATTTGGCCGGGTCGGGACATGCGCGAAATAATGTGAGACCACAAAGACTTGTAAATGATATTGGAGCCCGGGTTGAATTACGGAACCTGCGTCCGAGTGGGTGCATATACGTGTATATATATATATATGCAGACGAAAGAGAGACAGACAGAGAGATAGAAAGTGACAGAAACTTCCAGAGAGAGAGAAAGAAAGAAAGAGAGAGAAAGGGGGTGGAGAGAGAAGGGAGAGAGATAAAGGGGGTAGAGAGAGAGAGGGAGAGATAGAGGGGTGGAGAGACAGTAGGGGGATCTTGGGTGGAATGAATGTTTCGCCTAATTAAGAATGCAAACACATGCACAAAACTATGCGTAACAAAAAACGAGGCATCCATATAGGGATGATGAATTTTATACACAACACACACACACGCAGCCACACAGAGGCACGCCGCACATACACGCATACACACCTACATACTTATATATATATATATATATATATATATATATATATATATATATAAAAAACATACACACAGACACACACACACATACACATATACATACCCATATATATATATATATATATATATATATATATATAAGCATAGATACACGCATACACATATATATATATATATATATATATATATATATATATATATATATATATATAAAATACACACACGACACACACACATACACACATACATACCCATATATATATATATATATATATATATATATATATATATATATATAAACACACACACACACACGACGTAGATACATACACATACACCTACATATATATATATATATATATATATATATAAAAACATGCACACAGACTAACACAGACACTACACCACATACACACACATATATATATATATATATATATATATATATATATATAGAGAGAGAGAGAGAGAGATAAAGAGAGAGAGAGAGAGATATATATATATATATATAAAAGCACACACGCAGACACAGACACAGACACATAGACGCAGACAGACACACAGACACCCACACACGCACCCACACACGCACCCACACACGCACCCACACACGCACACATGCCGGCTGGGACTCGATTTCGGGTAATGTCATTGTTTGATTTATTCACAAATATGGATACATCGGATGTGGTATTTTATTCCCGCTAGGGTCTTACATTGTCATGCAGAGATGTAGCAACGTTGGGAAAGACAGTAGTTGTTACATAAACGCCGTATAACATGTAATGACTGAGTTATCTCGATGTCTTACAAAACAGGGATGACGCGTCAGAGCTTGATTCAGCTGCAAGCGCAAAACACATGAACGCCCCCCCCTCCTTCTTCGCACTGTCAAGCTGGGGTTAATAAAAGGTTCTTCGGGAATTTTTCTCTTTTAACGTTTCAATAATCCTTCTCAAACAATCTTTACATCAAAGGTTGTTTGAATGTCAATTTAAGATGGAATCATATGAATAAACCCTTGGCTAAATGGCTAAAGCCGATTTTGGACCTAGTTTGTTGCAGATTTCGCCTACAACGGAAATAATCTAAACCAGACATTCATGCGAGGAAATTTGTGTGTCGTATGGAATTTATGTGGGGAATTTAACCATCGGATGAAAAAACAGTGGGTTATGACCGAAAAACAGGTTTATTTGAACAGTTTTTCGTGTTTTTTTGTTATACGCGTGGAAACGAGAGGAACTAAACCACACTGGCGTCTTTCTTGCATGATGGCAAAGATTTTGCGACATGTTTGAAGAAAATCGGATAAAAAGACGAGGAAGTTATTCAAGTTTTTTTTTAAGTAGAGTTTAAATTAACACGATTTTTTCACAGTTTATTTTTTCATTTTTTTCTGTGAAGCCAATCTCGCAGGAAAACTAACAAACACTCTACATAAACCTCGTAACATCAGCTATGTTTTGGATTAAGTGCAAAGAACCGTTTTGTTCGTGTGCAATTTTACCTTGGATTTTGAAAAAAGTCGTACCGACATCAATTTTTCTTCCAAACTCGTGGGGTCTGTAGACTGAAAAGTTGGTCTTCACCTACACACGGTAAATTTGGATTATGTATGTAGAATTTCAAATAGGTCGAGAAATCTGGACAGTGTGCGTAGAGTTGATGTTGACTGAAGCGGCTAGTGATCTTCAAACAGCTTAGAGAAGAGTTAACCCCGTCGTAAAAATGCCTATCACACAACACTAATAAAAATGGCCATGTATGACAGCAGTACAGCATTTTCGAGCTGAGTTGAATCTAGTAATGGTAGGAGTCAGGTACCGATTATTTTTACATCGTCTTTAGCAAATGATCGATTGAGTTTGTGTTCAATATCGGAACAAGGCATGAGGCCTCCGTGAGAGAGCACAAATTTTTTTTCAATATTTATGGATGTCAATAATAGGGTTTGATCACTCGAAGCGTAAGTCATCAGAGAGTTTTGAATTTTATATTAAAAACATATATGTTTGAGTTTCACTTTAACTTCAATAGCAATAAACATATACATATATAAATCTGTGTTTGTCCGTCTGTAATCAGAAGGGTTCATATTTACATTTAATACATATTTATACGTTCCACAGTGACTCCTATATGTTTCAGTTGGCACACAGATTTGTTTCATTTATAACAAACACAAAAAGAATTGCAATCACAGTTGCACATGCAAATAAAAAAATAGGTACACAAATACATAGAGCTTGTATCGACCCAAAACCGCCATTTCTATTTCATATCGATTGAGCATGTTCATTTATCGGTACTGGTCATGCATTCGTTTATTAAAAGACACTAATTGACTTCTGTATTCTCTATGTACAAATGCAGGGGCCCCTGGGCGTTGAGAACTTTACATGTTCGAATATCGACTAACCAATAATTGCCCTGGTTGACTAAAACATGAACGGATAGATAGATAGATAACATGACGTTATCGACAAACTATCGTCCTTACCTAAAGTTCAACCGAAAAATTCTATCGTTTGTCGGGGGCAAATTTAGAAATGTAATATATGAAACATGTTAAATATTGTGTCTTTTCGTTTACTTTTTGGCCCTATATTTGCAAAACTGTTAAACAAGTTCAACAAACACTGGCATCTATCTATCTATCTATCTATCTATCTATCTCTCTCTCTCTCTCTCTCTCTCTCTATATATATATATATATATATATATATATCTGCCTTTCTGTATGTCACTCTTACTCTCTACACACACAATCATATATATATATATATATATATATATATATATATATATATATATATGTGCAGGACTTAGAAGAAAGTGCTCAGTATCTGTGATAAAGCTAACATAGATTGGATTATCATGGATTTCACGCTTTTGTGATCTATTAGATGATCAGAATTTCAGGATGATCGCAATATACAAAACTAATATACAAATCTGAATATTCATATATATATATATATATATATATATATATATATATATATATATATATATGATACCCTAGATTGATTGCACCACTCAGATTTTCATGATACCTGTAATCGCCATGTACGAATTTTATGTTTTTAACCGTTTGTATAATAATTCTTCTTATCACCATATATTTTATTGCTTTAACAATATATTATTGTTGCTAAGTATTTAAATGAATTGTAGTTTTGTTTTGGATTTGAATTTAGTCCCAGATTAATATTTAGATGAAAAATAAAATTGAAAATAAGAATCAGAAATTTTAATTTAAAAATGGACGTTCTTGAAATAAAAAAAAAACAATATGTTTTTGAATCAAGGGATCATTCTATTTTTTGTATGAAAACCAATAATGGAATTAATAATATTAATAATATTAATAAAATATACGGAGATAAAGTAAAATTAATTTACTAATAAAATAATACATAACAAAGAAAATAAATTAAAAATAAAAACATATAAATAAGAACAAATAAATAATAAATATGAATAAAAAATAGACATTATATATCTATATCTATATGTATATCTATCTATCTATCTATCTATCTATCTATATATATATATATATATATATATATATATATATATATATATATGAAAAACTCGAAAACAATATAATTAACATTTTCAAATGCATCTAAAAATCTCTCGTTAGCATCTCTTTCGATCTTTATATACAAAATCTATCTATTTATATTCTCTTATCCATCCGCTCGAATTCTTGGTCATCCGCATATAATCTATCTATCTATCTATCTATCTATCTATCTATCTATCTATCTATCTATCTATCTATCTATCCCAGTCTCTTCGTTATCTATCAATCTGTTCTTGTCTATTCATCTATCTATCTATCTATCTCTCTTTATCATCTATCTATCCATTCCGCTGACGTTAAATCTATCTCATCTATCTTCCACCATCCATCTATCTATGATTTGACATCCCATATATGTAACATCCATCTATCTATCTATCGATGGCTATCTTTCTATCTATCCACTGTCGTTCATTCACAATCAAATGAATCCCAGATCCATTGTGTGTGTCTATGTGGGTCTATCTATCAAACTGATGGTTTGGACATATCATCTGTTGGTCATATTCTCGTTTTATCTATCCCAGTCTCTTCAGTAACTCTATCTATCTATCTATCTATCTATCTATCTATCTATCTATCTATCTATCTATATATATATATATCTTCCTTTCTTCTCATATCTATCTATAATCTATTCATGTCTGAATATAGCTATTTATCTATCTATTCCTCTGTTTCCTATTCATATCTATCTATTTGTAAATATATATATATATATATTCCTAATTGTTCATATCTATCTATCTATCTATCTATTTATGCTCTTTCTGTTCATAGCTATTTATCTATCTATTCCTGAATGCTTTGTGTGTGTGTGTGTGGTGGGAAACTGTTCATTATCTATCTATCTATCTATCTATCTATCTATCTATCTATCTATCTATCTATCTATATATATATATATATATATATATATATATATATATATATATATATATATATTCTTTCTTCATATCTATCTAACTATTCATGTCTGAATATAGCTATTTATCTATCTATTCCTCTGTTCATATCTATCTATTTGTAAATATATATATATATTCCTAATTGTTCATATCTATCTATCTATCTATCTATCTATCTATCTATCTATCTATCTATCTATCTATCTATCGCGCGTGCGTGTTCATATCTAAACTATTCATGTCTGAAATGAATTTATCTATATGTGTGTGTGAATACATTTGTAAAATATATATATATTTCCTAATATCAAATCTATCTATCTATCTATATCATTGGGTGGAAAAGGGAAATGATATTCTCTGTATTATGTGTCTGAGAATACAGAAAAAAAATAGCAAAGAATACATTGGGTGGAAAGAAACATAAAAGAAAGAAACAAAAAAGAAAGAAAGAAAGAAAGAAAGAAAGAAAGAAATGCAAAATAATAGTAGCAAATAGGTTGGTTATTATATGAACATTGGACAGTATTGGGGTTTATGAAAGAAAGAGATGTGAGAAATAAAAGAAGAGAAGTAAAAGTCATGGAAGAATAATAGAAAAAAATGAAGATTTAGAAAAGTCCGTTTTCCCCCCCTTAACAGAATGACGGACAAACAACTGAATTCACCTCCCCCAATAATCAATACAATCTAATAAACTGTGTCCTATCTGATCATATTGCGTTCTTTCCGCTTTCTTATTCAATGCCATATTTAAAATGGCGTCGACTTAATTAGTTTACTATTTAATTATTCAACTTTTTTACCCTTTCATTTCTATTGTTTTCCGCTTGTTTGTATTGTTAACTCACCCCTTTGTTGTCTTTAATCTCGTTTTTCATCGCCATTGTTATGATAATTTTAATACCTTTTTTTTTTTTTTAACAATTTTCCATGTCTCCTTTTCTTTTTACTCTCTTAAAAAAATGATCCTGTGATTTGCTTTGTAGTGTTTTGCCTTTCTTTTCCAATATCCGGTGGTTAAAGCAGTGTTAGTGAATTTTTGAATTTCAAAAAGTGCCCAACGCTTTTCGCTTTAGCAAGAGAAACTAATCAATATATATTGCGGAAAATGCTTATTCACCAATAAATAACACCAGCTCTTAACGTAAAAATCATTGACTACATTCTGGAGGGAACAAAGTTTGTCAAATTGCATTTTCTTGTTTGCGTCTTTATGCGTTGCTTTCTGGCTTTTAGTTCGAAAAGCTTCTGCAACTATTTTTGTGTTGCAAGCTGTTTAATTAGAAGAATCTTTCTAATGTATGTCAAGGCGTTAATGGATTTTATTGGATGTATATCGTTAGAAAAGATGGTTGCAAAAATGATCACTATGATAATGATGATGATGATGTAGCCGGAACTAAAAGAGATCTTTCCCGACAAAATTTAAATGGAAATTATTCGACATCCAAGAAAGCAACGATAAACGGAAATTTTCCTTTCTTTCTTTTTTCTTTCTTTTCTGAGTTCCCTATATAGAACAATTTTCGCGTTTTAACATTCGTTCTATTATTTCAATACTCACTTTATCAATTTGTTTCATTTCCGGTCTTTTTATCTCTTCTGTACTTCCATTAAATTCTTCATTTCGTAGTTTTTTCCTTCTTATTTTTTTAGTACTTTTATTGTCTCATTTTCAACGCTTCTTTTTCCTTCTTTGTTTGTTCTCTTTTTGTTTGTTTCTTTCTTTCTTCCTTTAACAAACTCCGTACCTTTTTTTAGTTTCTTTCTTCCTTCTTTCCTTCATACCTTTCTTTCTTTCTTTCTTTCTTTCTTTCTTTCTTTCTTTCTTTCTTTCTTTCTTTCTTTCTTTCTTTTCTGTACTCTCAATATATAATTGTCTCGGTTTCGTTTTCTTACGCTTCGGATCTTTCTTTCTTTCTTTCTTTCTTTCTTTCTTTCTTTCTTTCTTTCTTTCTTTCTCTTTCGTTTCTTTCTTTCTTTCTTTCTTTCTTTCTTTTTCTTTCGTTTCTGTCTTTCTTTCTCTCTTTCTTTCATTTTCTCTACTCCCCATATCAAACTGTATCCCTGTTTCCGTTTTATATTTCTTTTTCTGTTTCATTCTTTTTAAATTTAAAGTTTATTTTGTACTAATCTTAAATAAACAAATAAATATTTATTTTCTTTTTTATTTCTTATTCGCTTCCTTATCGTCTCTTGTTTTGCTTTTCTTCTTTTCTTCATTTTTTCTATCATATTTCCTTCTTTTTCATATATTTTCTTTCTTTTCTCTTTCTTTCTTTTTTCCTTTTCTTTCTTTCTTTCTTTCTTTTGCTTTTATTTCTTTCTTGATTCCTTCTCAAATCTTTTTGTCTTTAACAAATGTTAATTTTTGTTTTTGCCTTTTTCATGAAAATTTCTTTCTTTTTTCCTTCTTTCTTTCTTCCTTTCAGTTTTCCTCTTTTTATCTTATTATTTCTTTTTATTTTATTTTTTGTTAATTTTTATTATGTCTTTATTTATTTTCCTACTCTACATTCTTTTTTTTCCCTTTCTTTCCTTGGTCATTGCCTTTATTTTCATTTTATTTTCATGACTTTTTTCTGTGTTTTCAGTACTTTTATCAGATGTACTTTCCACTATTTGCTTCTTTTCTGTCCACAAACGCATTTTGCTTTTGTGATTTGCAAGCTTTGCCATTTCCCTTTACCTTTTTTCAAACATCTGAATCATTTGCCGCGTCTTTTTTTTTCAATTTTTGTCTTCAAACTATTTTCCTTTTTTTTTCTCTCCTTTCGTCCTTCTGTAGACATAAAACTAAAAGTTGATATACGATTAGCTTCATATGCAAAGAAATTACCCGGATGCATAAAGGCACTTGAAATAATAAATGGGCTTATTATTTAACAGCCCTTTGCAGCAATAAATACAAATATAAAAGTGAAACACAGTATAAAGCGAATTCACCAATATAAGGAGCGAAATTAAACTGATTACAATAAAAGTGAATTTGGTATATGAGTTCAAACGATATTTAAATTAAACATTACCAAACAGGAAACTTGAAAGGATTTTTTTTCTTTATCTTAATAGCGTCATTCAAACATAAGAGTTGCTCAAAGAAGCTTTGGGTATGAGCAGTTAGTTTTTTCTCCAGCATTTCGTAAAAAATAAAACTATTCTCATGAAATCAAACGTCGATCAGTTGGCGTGTCATGACGAACGGTTTTGCTCACAAAGAGACTGCTTGTTTTTAACATGGCCCCAGATCTCAAGTAAAACTCATATATAGGAAACATCACTAAAGATACTGGGAAAGTAATCAATTCCTTCTACTTCTCTCGAAAGTATCTGACACCTCCTGCCATGCTTCTTATTACAAGAGTCAGGTAAGACAAAAAATGGAGTATTGGCGCTATATCTGGACTGGGGTTGTCCAGTCTTCACTTTCCAGTCATGATAGATCTTTTAGGCGATGAATTATGTCTCATTTTACAACCTTTTTTTTTTCATAGAAAATATTTAGAAGAGATAAATTACTTATGTATAATAATTCAGTCCTTCAAATCTAAGACCTGCCATGCAAAGATGAAAACCAACTAAACATCGCCGACTGAACACAGCTGAGGGAACGCCGGGACAATGCAGGAATGTGAGAACAGGGTATAGAAGGCATTTGAAAAGGCATTATGTAAAATAAGAAACAGTTTTTTTTTGCTTTTAATTATTTTTAATAAAGGAAATCTCAAAGAAATATATTTTTTTATAAAGTAAATTAACATATAAAAAATTAATTCAGTAAAACTCACTTATTTTAAATTAATTTGTAACAAAGTAAATCGAAAAATGCAAAAAAAATAAAGCATTTTTTTAATTATTTTTAATGAAGTAAATCGTAATACAGTTTATTTTTTAACAAAGTAAATCGACATTCTAAAATATTGAATTATTTCTATATGCCAATTTACTTTATTAAAAAATAAATTTCTTTACTAGTTATTTTATTAAAAAAAATTAAAATAGAAATAAAAAACTTGTTCATATTTTACATAATGCCCCGTTAAATGCCTTATGCGAAGAAAAATATTTATTAGTTAAGGTTTTAATCTTTAATAAATTACTTTTATTCGGTTATAAAAAGTTATGTTTTTCTGGTGCTGAGATGTCTCGGTCCTGAGTTGTCCCAGTCCTGATTTATCTCGGCGTTCAGTCGGCGGTGTTGAGTCGTCCTGCACCTGATACATTTTGGTTGATGCGGTCGTTACTCATAGTGTCACTTTGAACTATTAAATTATTTTCCCTCCCTTTTTGTCTCGTTAATATTATAATTTGCTTCTTTCCACCCTTTTTTTTTATATTTCATCAGTTATTTTCATTCTTGTTTTAATTTTTATATCTATTCTTAAGTTTTCTTTCTGGTTTTATTTTTCAACCTTTTCTTCGGCACTTCCTTTAACTTCCAATCTATGCTTGCATTCTTCTTTTTATGGCTTTTTTTTATTCCACTTGTTGACTTTTTTAACTAATACCCACAAAACGAATTTTATTGAAAAGCGTGTTTTATTAAATTATTATAAATCACTTTTATTCGCTTAAAAGAAAGGTATGCTGTCAAGTTCCTAAGATGTCTCAGTCCTGATTTTCTCGTCGCTCAGTCGGCTCTATTCATCGATGGCGTTGAGTTGGCGGTGATAGCTGTTCTCTTCCCGACATGCAACGTACATTGGAACGAATCATTACTATTGCATTCATATTCTATTACTAAAGAGGTAGTTAATTTCGTAAGAATCGCTTTATGGAAAAGACACCGAAGGGCTTGCTTCCCCGATCTCTGAAATTTAAAGATCTTTAAGTGTAGAATCAACACTTATCTTTCCTAAACATAATCAGCACGTATCTCATCCTTTTAGATTCTTACCAAAACCTGTTTCAGTAAACCTGTAGTTTGAGTAGTTATTGAGCGTTCTATTAAGTAAGCATTTAGTAAAAATAAAGTCTACTCTACAGCATTGTGATAAAGTTCAGATTTCGAAGGTTATTTAATTCTAAATTTGTTCTGAATTTATCGATATAATGATTTCCACCTTCAATACTCTTCTATAGGCACATATATTTGCTGACACTTTGTCTCCTTTGGAAATCATTTTCCTCTTTCTATATTATGTTTACCTTCGGCTTCTGGACAGCGTGATACCGAGGAAGAGGCGGAAAAGAGTGGAGGAGGGCGGACACAGGAATTGATCGAACTAGGAATCTGTAAACAAAATGTGGAGACTATAACATCAAAGGTGTATATCACAGCGCCAATGTTAAAATTAGAATTGAACACACAGGAACGCAGGATTTGCAGTTTGCGTTCGATGGATGCCGTGAGACCAGATAGTAGATGGATCGCTGTCCTGGAATGAAAACCCTGGAGTACTGACTAGTTAAGCTGACTCACTTGCGGGATGATACTGCCACACCCTGAAATACAAATATCAGATGTAAAGAAAGAGGTCTATCTTGTAAATACTGTGAGAATTTATACTCTGACTGGGTATATTAGCTAGATAACCTAAAGTCGTCCCCGGCTTTACGTCGTATCTATGAGTATAATATAAATTAACGATCGCTTCCGTTATGATGACTAAATTTGCCGCCAATTTTCAGGTTCATGACTAGAAGCTTCCAGTTTGATCACAACTTGCTCCTGTCAATCATTCCCTATTTTCGTGTGGCGTTGCAAGAGTTAGATGGATGTTAAAGAAGAAGGCCGGAGCGTACAAGGGCCGAAACTTTGTAATAAATATAGCGACAAAGATGAGGACAATAGTCCGAATAATGCAAATAATTTACATAATACCTCATCTCAGAAATATAGTCAGATATTGGTCCGGTTCCTTGTACCACGTTGATTGTCCAAGATAGAACCAATAAAGAAGAACTCGAACACGGATATGGAATAACACAGATATATTACAAACAGGAATATATACAGAGAAGTAGAAAGTGTTAGTACGAACAATCAGGTTTAGTAGTAATTGTCTGAACGCGACTCTGTCTCGGACTGCCTCTGACTCGACTGACTGACAGAATCCTGACGGACTTCTGACGGACCTCACTCCTGACTTCAAAAGTATTTAGTCACCCCCCCCCAACGAGGGCGTCATGTGGCACAAGGCCGGTTTAACGTGGGATCTCCAAGCCCGTGGGCTCTGCCAAAAATATGCCCTTTGAACCCATATAAACGGGTTCAGGGTCGGTTTACCTCCCCAAAAGAGACTCCGCCCTTCGGCGTAGCCTCGTTCGGGTTCCTCCCCGCCCGAAGGCAGAGAGTCACAACCGATCAGCCGGTCAGCCGCTCGATCGACTTCGGACTGAACTCCCTGCTTCCTCTTGAGGCGCAGTATTTATTACGTATGGAATAGTCCATTATGTTATTATGGGTAAGGTCCCATAACAGATACTAAGGTGTTTAAGGATGGAAAATAATTCCTTATACACAAGGCTGGGTAATCGCTTTTAAACTTTGCGAAGACGGGACAGTAAGGAAAGACAACCCCAGCCCAGGTATAGGAGTAGTACTTCATTCTTAGTCTCATCTGACTCTTGTGAATATAGAGCATTCAGAAAGAGTTAGGAATTTTCTGGATCAATAAAAGGAGTATACCATTCTCCCAGCATCTTTAGAAATGACAAGAATATATGAGTATCATTTGTGGTCTGGAGTGAATTTAAGACCCAATAGGTTTTCGACAAGGTGCTTTATTTAGGGTATGGACGCTTATCAGAATTGGAGCACATGTAAAGGTCTGCTTCAGTTCACTTGCGATGAAACGTTACTAGCATTGTTTTTGGGAGGTGCTGATGGATATAAGTTCTCCCATTGAACTCTAAGTGTAAGGTCAGAGGAAAGGTCAGCTGCTGATCCTCCATATATTATCATCTGCATATAATATATATATATATATATATATATATATATATATATATATATATATATATATATACATTATTTACATTATTCGGACTATTGTCCTCATCTTCGTCGCCATATTTATGACAGCGTTTCGGCCATTGTACGCTCCGACCTTCTTCAGTTTGTTGGAATGTCGAACTGAACCTTTTATTTTGCTCACCGGGGTAGACTGTTCTAGTTCCACGTGCCATGTTTGATGGATGTCAGTTATCAGTTATCTCCTGTGACACATGGCACAGTGGATAAAGGCGTTGGTTAGATCCAGTGACAGGACCCAAAGAGTGTGAGTTCAATACCCGGTTAAGGCCGTGGAGAACTTTCAGAGGGAAATTAACAGGATAATAATGCAACACAAAAGGTACTTAGAACAAAATGTATTGAAACAAGAAAGTGTACACAATATTTACATATAGTCTTTTGTATATTCCTGGTAAGACCGTTCCTGGAGAATGTGTTGACTGAGTCGCAGTCGGACAGAGTCTCTGGTTGAATCTCTTGATTACTCCCTCTCTTCCCGCTACCAACCATATTTATATGGTT